ATATTCTTCATTCCAATTAATCCATTCATTCGAAGAATTGTCAAATTGCATTTTATTGCGTAAATGATAAAATTTGTTGGAGAAAAGAAGGAATTCACTTAGTAGATCATGCAACATTAATATTTCTATTTATATCGATCAGTAAGTATCGTCAATTAACACAACCAATAAAATTTATTCTTTGAATGGCTGGTGACACAAGTGGTCGTACTTAAATTAAATTTTTGTTTCTTGTAAATTATCAAGAAATTTAATGCTGCGTATAATTGCACGATTAGACCCTAGATTTTGCTTAACTCGAACCTTTGATTAAGTGCGGTCGTATTCTTTAATTTTAAAAAAACATTTATTCATTGATACAACGCCAACGATCTAATTCGAAGAAAAAAGATCGTCTTAGAACATTTTTCGGAAAGATATTTTTTTTTGATTCTTTCTACAAAGCTTAAAGAAATAACATATGTTATAAGTACAACAGAAAAGTTTAAACCTCATCTAGTAACTAAATTTACCAAAAAATTGAATTGTTGTTTAGTTCAATCAGCGTGAAAAGTAAAATAAAATAACCATTTCATAGATATCGATATGGTTGATTAAACTTTGCATTCTTTTCTTATGCTAAAAATAATCTAGTCTAATGATAAATAATATTCTCGTAACTCTAATTGGATAGACATATGTATGCTATATCGTTTGGTCTAAAAACGGACAGTCCTTCGCATTGAGTAGCAATTTTTAGAATTATAGAGTTTAAAAAACGCGGAAAAATGTTTTATAAATATACCTTTTTATTTATTTTGACTATGTTACATTACAGTAAATATAATTAATTCCGCCTTTGTAAAATATTAAGATTGAATTTAGAATTTTTGATAACCTAAATGAACGATCTTAATCAAAATGATTTTGTTTTATCTTGATAGTAATTAACATGTTAATTTCATGCTTTAAATCGTGTTTGAGGTCTTTTTTTTCTATAAATGTAGATACTTATTACGACTTTAATTTCGGATTGCGTAGCAATTTCAACTAGAATTATTGTTGTGCAACAATCTGACATAGATCAACATTACTATTTCTAACTCCGTTTAATGTAATGCATAAGTAAAATCTCAAAATTTGGGGTTTCTCTCACGCTAAAAAATTTATAATGGGAGAAAATAAATTTTTATCGAAATTATCGCAAAATTTACTTGAATGTTTGAAGGATGATGAATATTATGACATTGCGATAGAAGTTGGAAAAGATCCATATGTAAAAATATTTCGTGCACATATGATAATTTTAAATTATCGTTCTCCTTATTTGCAAAGAGTTTTGTCTACCAATAAAAAAAAAATTGATGGAACTTTGGTACATATTAAATTACCAAATATTATACCTGATAGTTTCAATGTAATCTTGAGGTAACTTATAAATAGTGAGATTTATTTATTGTTTGCGAATGCATTAAATTTATAAATTTTTTTTTATTTTTATTTTCAAAGGTATATTTACGGAGCGAAAATTTCATTGGAGGAATATGATATTTCAGATATTATTAATATCTTGATTGCCGCTAGTGAATTAAGTCTTAAAGAATTAATCGACCATATACAATTATTTTTAATTGAAAATAAAGTAGATTGGATGGAAAATAATTTTAACTTGATATATCAGACAAGTTTTAAACATGATTCTTTCTTGGAACTTCAAAATTTTTGTACCAATTTAATGTTAAAAGATCCAGAAAAAATTTTTAATTCCCTTGATTTTGTTTCAATTCCAGAAAAATCCTTGATCACTCTTATTCAAAATGATAAACTTTCAATGAGTGGAATTCAAGTTTGGGAACATATTCTAAAATGGGGAATCGCTCAAAATCCAGAACTTTCTTCGGATCCTTCCAACTTTTCAAAGGATGATTTCAAAACTTTGAAGAATACCTTACAACAATGCATTCCATTTATAAACTTCCGCAATTTAACTTCCAGGGAATTTTTGAATAAGGTTCTTCCATACAAGAAAGTATTACCAAAAGAATTATATGTAGATTTAACTAAATATTTCTTGGATTATGACTATATACCAAAAGATGAGCTCAAACCTCAGTTAACTAAGGAATTTAAAGCGATTGACTCAACAATTATTGATTCAAAAATTATCACAGATAAACATGCTGAATTAATCTCAAAATGGATTAATAGAAAAGATGTTAAAGACGAACTAAAAATTCAATATGAATTTCAATTATTACTTAGAGGATCTCGTGATGGGTTTACATCCAAAAAGTTTCATGAAATTTGCGATAATCAAGCTCGTACCGTAACGATTGTCAAAGTGAAAGGTAGAGATGAAATTCTTGGAGGATACAATCCCATTTCATGGATTGATCCGTCGTCATTTTATATTTCATTTACTACAACTATAGAAAGTTTTATCTTCTCTTTTAATGGTAAAGACAATATTGAAAATTTTTTCCTAAGTCGGGTAAAATATAATAGTTTTGCTATAAAAAATGGGAGTAGTCATGGTCCATCATTTGGTCAGACAGATCTTAATATACATGGAAATACTTTTTTTAATCAAAGTTGTTGTGTAAAGAATACTTATGAAAAAAAAATTAGAGAAACTGAAGATTATTTTTCTATAGAAGAGTATGAAATATTTCAAATTATAAATAAATAAACAATATCGTGCGTTACAATATTTCCAATTAACCTGTTGTTCCACACAACTTGTCATAATCCTACAATTGTATAATGCATTGTTATCTTGTTTAGATGAACTTTAAATATTAAGCCCATTTAAAATAAAAAAATTTATTAAAATTATGTTAAGTTAAAAATCACGAAAGCTTTTACTTCCTTTTAATGACATTATTTAAACTAGATTTCATATTTAAACATCTGCTATATAACTTTTATATGGATTAATTGCTATAAAAATTTATTTTAAAATTTTTTTGACAAATTTAGAACTTATTGAAAAACTATTATACAAGAATCTTACATATAAATCATTATTTGTCTAGCAATAATCCATTATGTTTAATGGTTCAACGCTTCAAAATTCTTAATTCTTTAAATTCCTAAATTGATAAAACTCTGATCTTATAAAGTAAGGTAATAAATATCCAACAATCAACTAAAAAAATAAAGTATGAATAAATCATCATTTAAAACTTTTTCAGTTTGATTTGTTACCTTCTATTTTCGTATTAAAGATAAGTTACTTAATTTAATATTTACTACCCGGACGAAGTAGGTTAAGCTAACAATTTATACTCAAAATTTCAAAGAATAGAAAATGGACAAAAATTAATTAAAACTATTAAAAAAAAACAACTATGTAATAGGCGTTATTATTTCTAGAGGAGAGAAATCTTTTAACGAAAATATAAAGTAATACAAAATTACTTAAAATTAATCAATGCTTATGAACGAGAATTATTATAAATGAACAATTGGTTCTGAAAAAGTCAAAATATCAAGAATGATTCTTCCATAAATGTTGCCAGTTATTTAAATCAAATTATTTTATTTATTTTTTTTTTGTCTGGTTATTCAGAAGTTAAAACTGGTATGACTATTAATTAGCCTTTGGAATTTTATTGAGAATATATAATTATTTACATTGGTTGATTCTTTACGTGTGATTCATATGAATATCTTGAAAACTGATGTGTATCTTCTCCGGAAAAATAAAGCTGCCTTGAAGGGAATAGGTTAATTATTTTGTAGCTACAAGAATCACATAAAATAAAAAATCCATTCTGATTTAAAACTCCCATTATAGTCTTTCCTAAAAAATATAGATATAAAAAACTGTAAATATCGGAAAATAAAACCAATTAACCTTGCAACCTGAAGCGATTAAACTGGAATATAATTAATATAATTAATGTAAAATAAAAAGTTAAAAATAACAATCAAAGCAAGTTATAAAAAAAAATACATCAATTGACGCATAAAAAACTTATAAGTTTATATTTGATTTATTTATTTATTATAGATAAATAAATATCGTATATTTAATATTGATGTTTTTATTGACGCACGAGAATGAGAATAAATATATAAAAAGCACATTATTTTAAATGCATAATGTATCCAATGAAATTAAGAACTGGCTGCCACAAAATTATATATGATACAAACTATTTAATTATAAGGAACTAGAATAGGAAAAAATAGTTAAATATATCATTTAATCTTTTTAAGATGCATTATTCATCCATTACAATTTTTTAATAATAAACATACCAGAAAGATCCTTATAAGTATCAATTTGAGCATTATCGATTTGTGATCCTGAATTAGGGTTGCTATTATTTGAAGTTTCTGCGAAATCTATGTAATAAATTAAGAAATTAATATTAACAATACAAAAATACAAAGCTTTAATATATTAATATAGATACTTACTTCCAGTTGTAATTTTTCCAAAGCCCATCTTCGAAAATTCTTTTAGCACTTCATCAATAGTTGGTCTTTTCTCAGGTATTTGATTCCAACATATTTTATAAAGTTCCTCATAATCTTTGGGGGTATCCGGTATAGTGTTTTCACGATCTTCATGAAAAGCTATAGCAAATTGAATAGCCAAATTATCAAGTCCTTTAAATGGAGAATATCCGCTAGAAATTTCCCACATCAATACACCATAACTATAAATATCTGATGCTTTAATATATATAAACTTGTGATCTTTAAGTATCTGTGGTTCCATATAAGCGGAACTACCACATGGTCCAAGGTGCCTAGTAGGATTATTTTCAATTTTTGAAATACCAAAATCTGTAATTTTAGCATTATCGTTATGAATAACTATATTCTTCGAATGCTAAATTCAAATTATATTGTTAATATTACATAGTTATCAAATATAATGAATAAAAAATAATATTTACAAGATCTCTATGTAAGACATTTTCATTATGTAAATAATTTAATCCATCTGCGATTTGAAATGCTAAATTTTTCTTATTATTCCAGGATAAAACTTTAAACTTATTCTTAAGATAACATTGAAGGTTACTACCATCCGCATATTCCATAACAAGACAAAGTTCTTTTGTAATTTGATCTATAAAATTATAATAAATAAAGTAAAATTAATAAAGTTTTTCAAATAAAATAACTCATTCTAATAGCCTACCTTGACTAAAACCAAATAAACGTATAATTCGATCACTATAATTGAGACGTGAATGTTTATTTAACTCATAAATAAACGTATTAAAATTAGTATCGTTTAATTTTTATAAACAATATAATTATTCGTTTTTGACCAGATTGCTTTTATAATACTTCCAAAGCCTCCAATATCAAGTGGTTCTGGGTCAAACAAATCATTAAAAGGTATAAATTTGACTTTATTATCCAGAGACTTATTAATAAAGTCAATAATATTATCATCTATACGCAAATATAAAAATATATTAATGAAAACGATATAAATTATGTTCATTAATAATTATATAATAAATACCTTTAACTGATTTGTCTTCAAAGTTCATTATCGAAATTTCCTCTAATACTTCTATGATGGATGGTCTATCTTTAGGTTCTTGTTCCCAACATTTTTGATAAAGTATTTCATAATCCTTGGGAGTGTGGGGTATAGAATTTTCACGTGATTTCTTATTAACAATAGCACCATAAATAGCACCATTATCAAGATCTTTAAATGGAGAATGTCCGCTAGAAATTTCCCACATCAATACACCATAACTATAAATATCTGATGCTTTAATATATTGAAAATTGTTATTTGCAAAAATTTGTGGTTCTATATAAGCGTATCTACCACAAGGTCCTATATGCATCGTAGAATTATTTTCAATTTTTGAAAAACCAAAATCTGTTATTTTCGCAATTTTATTATAAATAACTATATTCTTAGAATGCTAAATAAAATTAAATAATTTTTAAATAAATTGATAATAATACACAAAAGTTAGAAAATTAATACTTACAAGGTCTCTATGTAAAACATTTTTATCGTGCAAGTAATTTAATCCTTTTGCAAGAAATGCTAACATTTTTTTATCATTCCAAGTTAAAGTATGAAAATTGTTTTTAAAATAGCTTTGAAGATCACCATCATTAATATATTGCATTACAAGTAGATATTCATTTGTATTTGAATCTAATAATAATTTTTTTCAAATATTAATACAATTATTTTTCATTATTAACATAAATTAAATATATTATATATAAATTACCTTGGCTAATGCCTAAACAATGAACTATATTATTATGATAATTAATATGTAAATGGATTTTTAATTCATAAATAAAAATTTTAATAAATTATATCTAATCATATTTGTATTTAATAATCTTTTATATATAATAAAATTATCAGTTTTCAACCAAATAGCTTTTGTAATACTTCCAAATCCTCCTTTATTAAGTTGTTTTAAATCAGTAAATTCATTAAATGGTATAAACTTGACTTGATCTTTTAGGGCTTTATCAATAAATTCAATTGAATTATTACATTGTTCTTATTTTCCAATATAACTTTTTGTTTTTTTTTATATGACTTTTTATACCATTCAAAAGCTTTATTCGAATCTCCATCAATTCCCATACTAAATTCATAACATTTAGCTAGATAATACTGCGCTAGTTTATTTTTATTTTCCGCTGATTTTTGATACCAGTAAAATGCCTTTTTTGGATCTTCTCTAATACCAATACCTTTTTCATAATTTGTATTATGCAATTTCATTTTCATTTTCTGCTGATTTCTGATACCAATAAATTGCTTTTTTATAATTTTTTTTAATAATTATGCCACCTTCATAAAAAAATCCTAAATTATATTATGCATATACATTATTATTTTCTGCTAATATTTCATACCAATAAAATGCCTTAACTATATTTTTTTCGATTCCTAAACCATATCGGTAACAAATAGCCAAGTTGCATTGTGCAACACTATTTTTATTATTAGCTGATTTTGAATACCATTCAAATGCTTTTTCTAAATTTTTTTTCACAATTATTCCTTTTTCATAAAAATATCCTAAATCATTTTGTGCATAACTATAATTCTGCTCTGCCGATTTTTCATACCATTCCATTACTTTTTCTAAATCTTTTTCAACTGCCCACCCATAATAATAATAATTAGCAAAATTGTACTGTGCAACTTTATTTTCACATTCAGCTGATTTTTGATACCAATAAATTGCTTTTTCTAGATCCAATTCAATTCTCCATCTATTTCGATAACATTCAGATAAATTACATTGTGCATTAATATTATCTTGATTAGCTATCGTTTGATAAATTTTAAATGCTTTTTCTAAATCCTTTTCTATTCCTAGTCCATATTGATAACGTTTGGCTAAATTACCGAAATAATTCAGTTCATTACTATTATTTTCATTATCTAATTCAGAATGTGATTTATCTGATTCATTATCATATTCATCACTTTCTGTCTTGATTGCATATAATTCATCAACTACTTGATTCATCGATGGATGATTATCTGGTTCATTATCCCAACAATCTGAAATTAAATAAAAAAAAATTTAATAATTATTTATATTCCTATTATTAAATCCAAAATCATATATTTACCAGTGTAAATGCTCACATAATCTTCAGGTGTACTGGGAATAATCTTTTCTCTAAGTCCTCCTAAAATTTCGATAGCTAAACTTAGATAGTATTCTTCATCTTTAACAAAAAATGGAGGACGACCGCTTGTGATCTCCCACAAAAGTACACCCACACTGTAAACATTACTTTTTTCATTTAGTTTAAATGGTGTTGATGTATTATCATTTCTTCGTTTGTTAAATACTTTTGGGTCAACATAAGAAATAACTCCAAAAGTTTTTGATTGATTAGTTGCTGCATCAATTCTTTTCGATAATCCAAAATCTGCTAATTTAACAACACCTTGACGAATTAATATATTTCCAGAATGCTATTTTAAATATATATATAAAATTCATTATAAATGTTTAACAGTAATAATGAACAAAAAGGATTATATTATGCAAGATTTACCAAACCACAATGAATAATTCCTTCTTCATGTAAAAACGACACAGCACAAGCCAACTGATATGTGAAGTTATATTTATCTCTTCAAGTAAGATAATCAAAATTACCCTTCAAATAGCTTCTAAGTATACCGCTGTCAGCATATTCAATCACTATCCAATACTATTTTAATATATCATTTTGATTTTCTAATATATTTTTTTTTTTTAAAAAATAAAAAATATTTATAAATAAATTAAAAATAAAATACAAAGTCAATACATATTGGCATTATTAAATTTTATACCTTGCTTTGATGCAATTCTAAAAAAGTGGATAATATTGCTATGAAAATCAACTTCCCGTTGAAGTTCAATCTAAATTATTGGAATTATATTTTAGCTTGAAATACAATTTGTTTTATACTAAAAGTTCAAATAAACTGAAATTTATTTCTCATTTGTGATTACCTCATGAATTATTTCTTTCACAGTGATATAATCAAAGTTATGAAATGATTTTAACGCGAGATGTAACTTTGAATTTTTCCAATTTGCACGATAGACTTTTCCAAAGGAGCTTGTAAGTATTTTTTGAATATTGCTAAAATGGTTGTATTCGTAGTATTTGATATTTTTGCTTGAAATATATTTTTCAATCAAATTAATATACTTATTTGAATCATTTGTCATTTGCATTTTAATATAAAATTTTTAGAGAAAAGTATTATAAAATGGATGAATTAAAATTTTTACAAAATATGTAAAAAGATTGTAAATAATTGTGCAAATTCTTATTTTGGTAGAAATATTGCCAAGAAATTGACAAAAAAAGTACAACAAAAACAAAACCCAATGTGAATGTGAATTTTTTTAATTTGGTTAACATTATTTCCTATTCATTGGATATGGTTCAATCGATATCTCTGTGTACGCCTTTTTATCTCTTTTTATTTGCCTGAATTTTAAATTTGTTTTATTTATTACAATACAAAAGGGGTCAACTATTACTGTCTCTGCTAATGTTCTTTACAATTCTATTCTGTTTCTATAAGGCGATATATCCTTCTTTTGTAACAATTTCTCCTTCATAAGGCTTTGGCACAGATTCTCTGAAGACGAATTGACATTTAACCATCAGGCTCATTTTAATTTGATCAAAGCCACGATTGATTGATATTTAGATCACCAAAAATCTGAAATAATGGATTATCCTGAGTGACACAATTATAGAATACTGTATAATTTGTCGATAACTTCTAATTGGTATTGATTTCTTTTAGAAGAAATTTTAAAGAATTTTGCTTAACAGGAATATGTCAATTTTGACATTTTTGTCATGGGAAGCGGTAATAGATTTTGTTTCTCCAAAACTTTTATTAGTAAATACTATTATAAATTGCATGTAATGTTAAGAAACAAATATTTTTTATTTTTCAAGAATATTCCGGATGTCCTGTATTAGAGAAATTAGGTATAAAGTTCATTATGTTTATTACTTGGAAATAACGAAAAAGAAATATTAAAGCAAATAAATAGTGATAACCGTTAATTTCCATCCCTAGTACCATTAATTATCATTGGTCCAAAATTATACATAACAATTTAAATTTAAAAAAATTAATTTTTTCTTTAAAAAATGGCAACGATCGAAGAAATAAGAGAAGATAAGAAAAAGGCAGAAGCAGAGTTGAAGCAGTTCAAAGAAGGGGAGAACGATGGGAAGTGGCTGGAAGAGTTGAGGGAAAAGATGAGAATAAATGATGACTTTAGTGAAAGTGAGAAGGAGAGGCTAGAAGAGGAAGATAAGAGATTGAAAAAGAATGTAGATGATAGGTTGAAGCAGATAGACGATAGGTTGAAGCAGGTGTTGGTGTTGCAAAAAGGGTTAGTTAATTTTGAAGAAAAAGGTATTGAACAAATTGCGTAAAAAAAAAATATATACAAAAAATTGAAGGAATAGTGTAGAGTGCGAATTCATTCAAAGGAAAGTTCGATATACTTATTAACTTATGC